GTGATTATTATATTATTTATCTTTCATTATAAAAAAACTGTATTATTGATTTAACTATTTATTTTTTATATTAAAAATTGTATTATTGATTTATGAATTATTAATAAATTGTTAACGTTTGAGTCCAATTTACTGAAACCAACTGGTTCTGATCCAATAAAACATCCATAGAAACCTATCTGGGGTCCAAACTCCTTCAGAACCAGAACCAGGAGGGACGGCCATTTTTCTGGGGGTCGAGGGGACAGCAAAGTGGTTCTGAAGCCCCTTTGCGCAGGCCCGGCTCAGTCCAGAGGGTCCAGGTGGTCCTGGTCCTGGTGGTTCTGGTCCTGGTGGTTCTAGTTCTGGAGGTTCTGGTCCTGGTGGTTCTGGAGGTTCTGGTCCTGGTGGTTCTGGAGGTTCTGGTCCTGGTGGTTCTGGAGGTTCTAGTCCTGGTGGTTCTGGTTCTGGAGGTTCCTCACCCGTCGTGGTTGTACTGGTGGATGACGGCGATGCTGCGGGGGTGCAGGTGGATCCGCAGGAAGTCGGACCAGACCCTGACGCTGGACTCTAAGCGGTACCCCTTCTGGACCCGGGCCAGGCGGGCGCCAACCGGGTCCACCAGGTCCGGGTCCAGCGGGTCACTGCAGAACCGCTTCGGGGAAGGGTTCCTTGCCGGGTCGGGGAGGGCCGGTTCTGGCAGGATCTCCCCGTTCTGGACAGAGAGAAGCAGGTGATGCGACCCGGTTCGACCCAGTTTGACCCGGTTCCACTGGGTACTCACATCCAGCAGGTCCAGGTCCTCCAGGAAGAGGTTCTTCTCTGGAGGGCTCTCCTGGTGCATCATGAGGCTCCCAGACCTGAAACGGACCGGGTCAGACCGACCGGACCAGAGTCCAACTGGTCTCTGGAGCAGATCAGAGTCCTGCAGGGCTCTCGACCAGACCAGAGTTCTGCTGGTCTCCAAAGTCCTGCAGGGATCTGGACCAGACCGGAGTCCTGCTGGTCTCCGAACCAGACCGGAGTCCTGCGGGTCTCCAAAGTCCAGCAGGTCTCTGGAGTCCTGATGGTCTCTGGAGCCCTGCAGAGCTCTGAACCAGACCGGATTCCTGCTGGTCTCCGGAGTCCTGCAGGTCTCCGAACCAGACCAAAGTCCTACTGGTCTCTGGACCAGACCGGAGTCATGCAGGTCTCCAAAGTCATGCTGGTCTCTGGACCAGACCAGAGTCCTGCTGGTCTCCAAAGTCCTGCTGGTCTGTGGACCAGACCGGAGTCCAGCTGGTCTTTGGAGTCCTTCTGGTCTCTGGAGTCCTGCAGGTCCCCGGTCCCAGGGGGGGGGTCTCACCATGTGGGGGCTCCTCCTTGGCCGTGGCCGTACAGACTTCCCTCCTGGCGCAGCGTCCGCAGGCTCCCTGCACAGAGAGCGCGCTCAGAAGCCAAATCCACGCGCACACCCGAACCACGTGACTACCTTTGAGGTCCATGGCGATGAGCCGCGGCGTGTAGGTCACGTGACCGGCCGGGGTCTGGCCCTCGCGGAACACCGCGTCGCTCTGGATCTCCGCCGGAGGAGAGTCCGGGTCGTAGGACAGGGACGCATCCTGCACAGGAGGAGGGCCAGCGGGTCAGCCGGAACCGGGACGCCGCTCGGAACCAGAACATGCTAGCAGCAGAACCGGCTAACAGCAGAACCAGAACCTATAGTAGAACTAGCTAACAGCAAAACCTGTAGCAGAACCAGCTTACAGCTGAACCATAACCAGAACAGAACCAGAATCTGTAGCAGTACCTGCAACAGAACCAGAACCTGCAGCAGAACTAGCTAAAAGCAGAACCAGAATCTGAGCAGAACTAGCTAACAGCAGAACCTGTAGCAGAACCAGCTTACAGCTGAACCATAACCAGAACAGAACCAGCTAACAGCAGAACTTGTAGCTGAACCAGAACAGAACTAGCAAACAGCAGAACCTGCAGCAGAACTAGAACCTGCAACAGAACTAGAACCTGCAGCAGAACTAGAACCTGCAACAGAACTAGAACCTGCAGCAGAACTAGAACCTGCAGCAGAACTAGCTAACAGCATAACCAGAACCAGCTAATACGAGAACCAGCCAACAGCAGAACCAGAACCTGTAGAAGAACTAGTTAGCAGCAGAACCTGTAGCAGAACCAGGACCTGTAGTCGAACCAGCCAAAAGAAGAACCAGAACCTGAGCAGAACTATCTTACAGCAGAACCATAACCAGAACAGAAACAGCTAACTGCAGAACCATAACCTGTAACAGAACCAGAACCTGTAGCTGAACCAGCTCGGTTCTGCAGGTCCACCTGTTTAATCTTTGGCCTAATAAAGAGTCGCTGCTCCTTTGTGTAGTTTTTGGGCTTTATGGAAACATTTGCGTTTACGTTCAGCTGATGATGCTCCTCTCATAGAAACGGGACATCTAGCTCGTATTTGGTGGTAAAACCCATTATACGCCCCTCTCATGTGTGCTCAGGTTCATGAAGTCAGTCCAGAACCAAATTATATGAAAATATGTGGACGGAAATTCAGTAAAGAAACATCTCAGACCAGGAATAAACAAACAAATACGACATTAAAGTCGCTGGAATCTGGAGATAACTGTCCCAAAGTAAATCAGAGGTTTCTAAAAGACGGGAGGCTAAATGTGGAGACTCGTTTCGGTGAGAAGATGCTGACAAGTGACATTTAATGCAGCATCCTCCGTCCCCTGTCCGGTTGGAGCTCTTCAGATGCGTATAACCAGGAGTTAATCTCAGTTTAACTCATTTAAAGTTGTAAATAACTTTAGTCTGGCTCCTTTATCACAACAAACCCCCAACGTGTCACACGGCGGATGGGCTACACACAACATGCGAAGCTAACCACGGCTAGCTAGTTTAGCGTTAGCCGCCGTGACTTCTTCACCTGTAAATTCCACCAGTGGGTCCCCACGAAGTTGGAATAATGTCCAAGCTGCAGCGTGATGATTTCTCTACAGACGCTGCTCATCGTGGCGGCCTTCAATAATCTGGGAACCGCGGAAAACACATAACATCGCTCATGTTCAGAGCGCTTCCGACGGCAACGGCCCTGAACGCACCACGGGGAGAGGGCAGCTGCTTCCTATTGGCTGAGAGAGGCAGTATGGCGGAATGTGATTGGTGAGAGGAACCACGTCATGCTGGTAGTTTGTCTTCACCGTGCCACTGATTCACGTGCAACTTCATAAATAAACATGGAAAATAGGAAAAGACGAGAAAATGTGATCAATTTTGAACAGAGAAATTATATAAATGGAAATAAATACAAATTAAATACATTTAAAAACAAAGAAAATGTGAATACTTAATCTAATGCAAGAAAACACCGATAAACAACAATAAGAGATTAAATGTATGAACATTACAATTACATAATAAAAGATATGGAAAGCTAGATGCTATGAGTTTAATTAACATTTAAATTAAGGCACTAAATGCACAAACACATTAAAAACATGCTAAACACACTTCAAACAAACTTCAGACTAAAGACACTAAAAAGACTCTGAAAGTAACAAGAAGGCACACAAAAACACACTTAATGAAAAATAAACAAACTTCAAAGATTCGAAACATACTTTAAACACAGTAAAAACACACAAAAAAATGTCAAAAACACACTTAATAAAAATTAAACACACTTCATAGACACACTAAAAACACTCTAAATACACTAATACACACTTCAAACACTACATAAATATTAAACACATTTCAAACAGACTTCAAACATTTAAAACCCTGTGAACACACTAAAGCCTTCAGATCTCCACCCATCTAATCCCAGATCTTTTCCCTTCTTCTCGGCAACCAAATTCCCGTTTACCAGATAATTTTCTGATTGGTTGATGTGGAGCTTTTTCCACCAATGGGACAAGGGGAAGTCCTGTTCCTCAGCTATGAATCTTCTAACCTGAAATCAGATGAACTTGTAACTGTTGTGTTATGGAGAGACTCAGATGTGTTTTCTTCTTTCAAATTAAATCATTTCTATGACTTTTGGTCACCAATTTCTGGGCAGCTGCGTCTCAAGAGAGAAGCAGTCGCTGCCTTTGAAAGGCCAGAGGTTCGACTCCCAGGGCCCCATGTGGGAGCATCCTCTGGTGGAGATGCAACTAATCCAACCGATGTATCAGTCTGGGAATAAATGTCGGGGAGAAAGTCCAGAGGGTTAGAGGTGGATAAGGAAGGAGCTGAAAGAACAAACAGCCCATGCAGATATCTGTAGATGTGACACAGATAAAGATCCTCACAACACTACTTTGCATATGAGGTGTATTTTACTAAGAGGGTTAGTTTCTTAGTTTCCAGGATACCTTCTATTTAGTTTCCAGGTTGGGTGTGGTCAGTCAGTCTGTCACAGTCTGTCCATGGTCTGAGCAAAGGTAAGTCTGATTATGGTCCTTATTATTTATATTCCTGCTCACAGAGACAATTTTAATGGTTCGGCATTTACAGACAGGTTTAGGTTTTTATTTTATTGAAGGTTTTCAAGTGAGAGTGGACAAGGAAAGTGGAGGATTGTTGGGAAAAGATTAAAGTTCGCGAGAGAACTGCTTCTTTTGGACCAGAAACAGCCTGATTTCTGTATTAAAAGAGATTTCTCGCAGTTGAAAACCAAACTGACTGCAGTTATTGGTGGTTTTTGTCTGTCTGAATGCATCTGAGGTTGAATTTAATATTATGACACTTCAGACTTAATTGGATGGTGACGACTTTTGTGTCTGATGTGAAACTACCTGTAAAAGACGTTTTTGGAAGAATAAACTAAACTACAAAAAACGTGAAACGTGATCTGACGTAGTTTCCAGTACGTACCGACGCATTTCCGCCGTGATACGTCTTTGTCACGAGAGGCCAGTCTTACGGTTTTTTGAAGAAAGAACGTGTGCGGCAACTTTGGCACAACCAAATTTTCAAAGAATTGTTTTGAAAATAGACATTTAAATTTAGATATCTTAGGCCATCTTGTTTCGATGTCCCGGCTGTGGCGTTATCTCGCCGTCGGCTTGGCAATAGCCGGTGGCCTAGTGTCTGCGGAAGCAGGTAAGCGTTAGCCATTAGGCTAAAATTCATTTGGTCTGATAAATGAAGAGAAAACAGGTTTTAAATAAACAACCAGCTCCCACAAAGATTGTTTTAGATCTGCAAAATGTGGATGAGTCTGTTTTAGGTCTTTGAGCCGAGGCTAACTGCAGCTAACCGAGGCTCCACGTGGCTCCACGTGTTTATAGCTGACTGTTAGCCGAGCAGGAAACGGATCTCCTCTGTTTTTCAGCAGTTTCTTACTTGGGCCCAGCTTTGTAATGCTCCCTCTGAAACCAGCTCAGGGTCCAGTTCAGGGTGTGTGTGTTTGTGTGTGGGGGGGTTAACTCTGACCTCTTACACCTCTACACTCTGTGTTGTTTCCTCTGCAGACCAGAACATCACAGCACAACCTGGTGAAGATGTAACCCTAAAATGTCAAGATGGAAATGAGAAAAAGATAGCAGTTTTAGAATGGAGCAGAACTGATCTGGATCCAGATCATGTTCTTTTCTTCAGAGAAGGTCTCTTTGAGTCAAAATACCAGCATCCATCCTTTAAGAACCGGGTGGATCTGCTGGACAGTCAGATGAAGGATGGAGACGTGTCTCTGATTCTGAAGAATGTGACGATTAATGATACGGGAACATACGAGTGTAGAGTCATGCAGAGAGAAGTGGACCAAGGGACGAACAACATGGAACTCATCTGCACCCTCCATCTGGAAGTAGCTTCAGGTGAGAGAGTCAGTCTGTGGATCAGAGAGCAGCCGGTTTAAATGACTACAACAGGGGGATTCTGTTGTTAAACCTCACCTGTTTCTCACCTGCAGGGAGCAAGGATGGAGGAGACGAGGATGGACGAGATGATGATGGAGGAGATGATGATGGAGGAGATGAGGATGGAGGAGATGAGGATGGAAGAGATAAGGATGGAGGAGATGAGGATGGAAGAGATAAGGATGGAGGAACCTCGGTTAGACAGCGCCCTGCTCTGTTTCTGCTTCCCATTTTTTTACTTGCCATTTTATGTGTTGGTGCACTTCGTTATATGAGGCTGGCTGGTGGGAGACATCCGCCTCCCCCAGAACCAGCAGCTGTTCCACAGGTGGTAATACCGCTCATGTCGGACCCCCCCGAGCCTCCTGCTGTGGCAGAGACTCCTGTGTGAGATGGATGAGAGGCATCAGCTCCGGTCCTCCTTCAGCACAGCCGGCCTCCCTCCCACTGGGCCTCTCTTCTGGCTAGCAATGTGTCCCTCCGTGTCGAGCCTTCGAAGCGTGCCGAGAAATCCAGGATGGTTCCTGTGAAGCGTGTATGGAGGCTGACGTTTGAAGCCTGGTGAGCCAACCGTACCATGTGACTGATTCAGGAAGTGGTTTGCGGTTTGGGGGTCTATTTGAAAAGTAAGGGCCAGCAAAATGCAATGGATCCCCCCTCACGTTTTGTGGACTTGGGACTTAATTGCGAGTTTGTTAGCAGTCTAACCGCTTGTTCCCTAATGGGGTTGCGGGGGGACTGGAGCCTATCCCAGTAGCCAATGGAGGGGGGGGGGCTTCACCTTGGATGGCAGCATCACAAACATCATTGATGAATTCATTCAATGCTCCAGACACCAAAGCCAGTGTCATTTTAATCACACGGCACTGTGACAAAGTGGTTCAGTTCACCATTTGTCCCTTATTATTATTTTGATACATTTATTTTTGTAATGGGTTATAATGCTTAGATTTAAACATTAGTGCAACCTTGCTTCATTTACTATCCCGGGTTTGTTTGTGTTGATATTGTGTTGCAGTTTCCATCTATTTATTTGTTTAGTTTAAAGCTATCACTTTCGAATTATTGGTTGAACTTGTGTATTCTTGGTATTTGTGTTTCTTTTTACTTACCATTCTCCCTTGTAGCTTTGCAGCAGGTCAGGAGTGTCTCCTGTTGAATGGCTGAATGATGTCACTGATTACCTTGCTGGGATCTACCAATTAGAGGGTTTTCTGGTATTGCTTTGTTTGTTTTTCTTTAAAGTAACTTTTGAGTTATCTGGTTTGGCAGGGTTTATTTTGTACATTATTTCATTAAGTTGAGTTTGTAAATTAGATTAATATTATTCTTGTTTCTGTTTAGACTTTGTCTTTGTTTAGTTTTTACCTGTTTGATTGTGGCTTGGCCCACTTATGTGCAACTGTGTTGCCAATTGGCTTTAAAAAAAAGTGTTTGTGGAGGCTGGGGGAGAGAGAAGATGGATGTCAGAGGAGGAAAATAAAATACATTTCTTCAGAAAACGCTGGAACCTGGTGATTTATGCAGTTTGTTTCGCTCACTTTGAAGACCCTAGACCACACTATCTTACAGGCACGTTTTACATTTGTTGTCCACTTGATGGCATATTAGATCAAACGAAGAACATTGAAGCTTCAACGCACAAGTCAACCAATTGGATGGAACACTTCATCTCGCCGTCACTACTTCTGGCCCCTCTGGAGACTGGATGTCTTTGCCTTTGAGCCTTTTTGTGATCTGATTTGTCATCTGTGAATAAAGTTGGAGGAGGACGGGACGTGTCTTGTTTTCTTCCATTAGTGTCTATTTCACTCCGGGTTAAGATGGTTCCATCCAGTAGAAAGACGACAGACTCATGTGGGCTTTTGTGGGCCTTAAAGAGGCTCTCAGACCAGAGACCCAGCAGAGGAAAGACCCCCGATGCCACTCAGACTCTGTTCTGAATGGATTTTAAAGGGGTCAAAGAAATTCATGGTGATTTTGGCACTTTTTAAAATCAAATCTAATTTGATTTAATTGAAAAACAAATCATTTCAAATAATTATTCAATTAATAATTAAATCATTCAATTAAATTAAATATTTTAAATAACTGAAATAATTTAAATACATAAATAAAATTCCTGTTGCTGTTTATTAAATTACATAAATTAAATTAAATCGTTAAATACAATTATTTAAATATTGTAAATAAATTAAATAATTCAAACAAATACATGATTTCAATAACTTAAAGTAAAAAAATTTTTTTTAATACATTAATAAACGTCCTGGTGCTGCCCTTTGGCTTCTTCTTGTCCACTGAGCCCCAGCGTGGACATAAAGCTCAGAGGTCAGAGGTCAGGGACACCTCCTAAAAACAGAGACTCAGAGTATTTGATGGCATTTTTATTTGAATTAAAGCTCCGCAGAGGAAACTAAACATCGCTGGTGAGAAACAGCTCTGACCAACCACAGGCTGCCTCACAGGTCATGTGACCGACCCGCCTCAGGGCCACAGGAGGCCCGGATTAAGGTCCCAGGCCCGGTTTTCGGGGGTCGGGCCTCCTCTGACAGTCTGGTCCAGGAAGTGGCTTCAGTCCGGTTCCTCCTGGAGGCGCCTGAACGCAGAGCGAGGAGGCCTTCCGTCTCACAGCGGCGGGAGTCCGAGTGCGGCCACGGCTCGCAACATGGCGGCTAGGAGGCGGCGTCCGGCCGGTGGCGAGCGGCGCGGCTTCGGCCCCGCGTGGCGCCGGCGGGACGCTCGCTTTGCGGTGGCGCCGGAGGGGCGTCGGCCTGTGGCGTGCCGGCGTCGCCCACCAACTCACGCAGGAACTTGAACTTGGACAGGAAGAGCTGCCAGACCACATACCAGCCTGAGGAGAGAGGGGGGGTCAGGTTCTGACTCCAGACCGGTTCAGGACGCCATCAGACCCACAGAAAACGCTTTAACCCCCAAATGTGGAGCTCCTGAACTCATGTTTCCACTTCTGTCTGTAATATCTGCTGGAACAGAGCTCATTTTGTGGAAATCAGAGCTGGTTTTCGAGGGAAAACGCAGGAATTCAAAGTTTAAATTTAAGATATTCTGATTCAGTCGACTGGTTTCAGCACATCAGCACAAAGTTTCCTTAATTTCTGGATGCTGGAACAGAGCTGATTTCAAGGAAATGAAGCCTCAATCTGGAAGCAAACCAGCAGGACTCTGAGTTCTCTGGACTCCTGTTTGGATCAGAGGCTCAGATGTTTACCTCTGGGGGGTAAAGCGTTCACATTGTGGGTCTAATTAGAGGACTTTGTAGTCTCTCCTGGCTCTGGCCCCGTTTCCCTGACCTTTGGGTCTCTTCCTGCTGAGGATCAGCTTATCTGTCAGCTCTCAGAGTTCAGGCCTCGTACCGACGGCCTTCAGAGGCTGCCTGAACCTACTGTGACCCAGACTGCACAGCCTTTGCTCTGGATCTGCTCCACGTGCTCTTTACGGGCCCAAAACAGAGCTGGAACATCTCAGGAAGGTCCTCCAAAGCTCTCAGATAAACTAGGTTTTTCTGGTGAATCAACTCCAGTTCAAGTTTTTGCACATTTATTTTGTTTTTCTTTTAATGTTTTTAGTATAATTCTTATTTTAAAAGTTTATTTTGTACATTTCTTATTTAAGAAAAAACTAGGTAACTTTCTAAAAGTTTAGATAATTCTTTTCTATGATTTTTTCTTACATTCCTAATAAAAATCATGACTTTGGGGGACATTGTCTTTGTGGCCGGTGAATTATGATCCACAAACATCCATCTGGTCTTTTTAAATCTGTTCACTTTTACGTTTTTTGCACAATCATTTCTCCTTCTGTGATGAGCCAAGTCATTCATCTGTGGCTTCGGGCTGCAGAAGAAGTGGGTTCAAGACTACAAATAAAGTCTAACCATTCACATTTATGCAGAAAAAACTCAGATTTCTGGTAAAAACGCAGGTTTTCTTTGAGGGAAAAGGCCCGCTTAGGGCACCATGGGTTCGGGCCGGACCTGGACCTGAACCTGGACCTGGACCCTGACCTGAACCTGAACCTGGACCTGGGGTTTTGGACTCACCAAACAGCATGAAGAGCAGTGCGCACACGAGCGTGGCCACGACAACCAGCAGCGCGAGGCCGAG